ATCAATCTATGGGGTCACTAAGAGTCATAAATGCCTTGATGGCACATATCCAATCAATCAATTTTGAGATCCATGTTCTTCATTGCACAGCATTTCACTGCACACCATTTGGGTTCCCAGCTAAGAACACACTGTCATCTGAATACAAAGATACATACACATTCATACAGTATTCCCAAATAACACACTTCTAATGTCACCACAAACATTCATTATACATTTATCCAAGAATACATCACACATCCTTGTATTACTTCCTGCTCAATGCTGAACCATTCACTAAGCATTCAGTTTAGTCTCATCCATTCTTTACTTCCATCATATACTATTTTAAACATTCAGTACCCATCCTTAATTTAATATTAATGTAAAACATTCCATAATTTAAGGACAAGAGGTAAGAGGCATAGAGCAGGGATTGCATTGGGCACTCCCTCCCACTTTACTCCATGAGCCTCTTCTGCATTGGTGACTGTTAAACTGCAAATTTACACACCATTCAAAAGAAACAACAAAAAGCTGAGAAGGAAACAAAAAGACCAGAACACATCCCTTCCAGCAGCCAACATGCAGATAAGCAGGGATTAACATCAGACAAACAATCAACAGAAAACAATACCCTAATCAAGGAACTCCCAAGGAGAAAACCACACCCCCACCAACACTGGCAGGGCAAGGTATTATATATAAACAGGGAACAAGCCCCACACTAACTAGCACTGATGATGTTATCTAATTGGGTAATGAAACATCTACAAGCAAGCTACTAAGCTCAGAGAGCACCAAGGACTCCACAGAAGAGAAAGAACTTGAGAACTAGGAAGAGAAAACTAAGACTGTATATAGTTTTTATACTTATCTATTACAAATAAACTAAGTTAGGGTTGATTTAACAGAATATCTGAAGACATCTTATAAACAACAAAAGTTCACTCAATGGAGAGATAACACATTGAATAGACTGCAAGATTAAATTATTAAGAAGGCAAAGTCTTTCGAGACTTTCTCTTCATAATAGCCAGAAGCACCTAACTTGTTTCAAAATCTTCAAATAAGCAGGATAGCACTAAAAGGACCGGAAAAAGAAAAGGGATAATGAGCTATGTGACTGAATTTGAAATCCTTATACACAAATTCAGAGCATTTGTTGGGCCTTCTATCTAAAATCACTCAGAAACTGAACAAATTAGAAATTGCATGATTAAATGGATGCAGGATTTAGGTACAATACAGGTAGTCCTTGTTTAACACCCACTTGTTCAGCAACTGTTCAAAATTATAACGGCACTGTACAAGAGGTACTTATGATGGGTCATTGTAGTTGTGGCCGTTGCAGCGTCCCCACAGTCACATGATCACAATTCAGGTGTTCAGCAACCACTTACAATGATGATGTTGCAGCATCCCATGGTCACGTGATCATTATTTGCAACTTCACTGTTGGCCTCCAACAAGCAAAGTCAATGAGGAAGCTCCTGTAGGAGGAGGTCACAAATGGCGATCATATGACTGCAGGACGTTGCGACTGCATGGGATTTGCCTAACAATGGCAACTGGGACTGCTGCAACTGCCGTCGTAAGTTGGCACAGTCACATGTCTCGCCTTACGACTGCATCACTTAGCATTGGAGTTCCCAGTGCCAATTACCGTTGGTAAATGAAGACTACCAGTAATTGATAAGCAACAGTAGGAATTTCAATGGAAGGAAAGCATTAAATTCACAGCAAATATTACGCTTAGAGAAAACTGGTATAAGATGTTTTACTGCTGGTACATTACTCCAGTTCTGATTGTTAAAATGGATAGTTCATTCTCTAAAAATGGTTGGAAATGTAATGACCAGGTTGGATCATTTTTCCATATTTGGTGGCAATGCTGTAAGGCTGCACAGTTTTGGAAAATGATTTATAATAGAATGAAACAAAGTGTAAATGCTGAATTTCCCCTCCAATCTGTTATTTTTTTTTATTAAGTATTACTAAACCTTATATTGCCCCAATGCAAACTGAACTAGCATTGCACAATATATAGTAATTGTTGCAAAGATATTATACACCTCCTACTGGAAACCATATACAGTTCTTTCTGCAGAAGATTGGCTAATTAAGTTGTGGAAGTACACCTTGATGTCCCAAACAACTTTTGTATTTCAGAAGTAAATATAACCCGGAATTCAACTCAACTTGGAAAGCATTTTTGAAGTATAATTCTGTATATGGGCTCACGCCATATCTGGAATTTGGGTTTCTCTTAACATAAAGTTTTAATATTCTAGTTTTCAATGTTCTGTTAAATGAGGATAGATCTTCAACTGCTCAGATCAGTGGCTCTTAAACTGGGGGTAATTACCCCTAATGTAATTTGGGCAAATTCTGGGGATAATGGAGCAATTTGTAATTGCTTGTTTGTGAGATAAGGGTCCAGGCTGGGACTGATGAGACAGTTATGGAAAACATCAGAGTCTGATTTTTTATTTTTATTTTTATGTGTGTGGGTAATTGGGTCAAACAGTTTAAGAGCCACTGTCTCAGACAGAAATTACTGCACTTCTTAATTTCATTTTATGATTTAATCTGTTAAACAGATTATTGCTGTTGATGTCTTTTTGGACCTTTTTTCTTTTGTTCTGTTTGTACTTTCCTTCTTTCCAAAAATGCTTAATAAAATATAATTTAAAAAAAAAGAACAAAAGTTCATTTAACGTGCTAAGTGACATGTCATCATGGCTGGGTTCACATAGCACGCCAATCCAGAGAGTTTTGGGAATGATTCTGAAAGAGAAACGAGGACTGGATCTGAAACTTTCTTAGTCTATGTTGGAAAAGTCTGGAGGGGGGTCAGTGCTGAACCAAATACAGAGAAATGGGTTCAAAAGATGTGTTTTTCTTCTCATTTAAAACACATTTATCCCATCTAAAAGGCATTCAAAGTAGCTACCAACATAATATGCAATTAACATTTCAGAAGGGGGACGTGGTGGCATGGCGGCTTAATGATGCTGAAAGTTGCCCGCCAGAAATGGTCGACACTTCAGCGGTTCGAGCCCAGCTCCACGCAGCAGAGTGAGCTCCTGCTTCCTCCCCAGCTCCGGCCACCCCAGCAGCTCGAAAACTTACGTGAGTAGAGAAATGGGGACTCTCACTCCG